ATAAAAAATTGACTATTTTTAACAAATGCAAAAAAATTAGCATAAAACAAATTTTGCAAATTAAAAATCAAACAAATTTTATATAAATTTGATTTTATACAAATATTAAATTTTCAAAATTTTTAAAAAACCAAAAAATAAATTAATAATTTTTAGTGTAAAATTATTAAAAAAATGTAATTTGAACTGTTGAAAGTAAAAAATTGAGAGCTTAAAAGCTTAAAAAGCTAAAGAAATAAGAAAATTGAAAGAAAAATCGAAAAGAATTGAGTAAAAAACCAAAAATTTAGTTAAGTAATAGAGTGAAGGAATGAATATCTTATTCTTATTTTAAACAAAATTAAGGTGGAAGAATTTCTGCATACATTTTTCGCATTCACTACTTAGCTGTAACTTTTCAGTAATCAAAAATAAAAATAGAAAGCAAACGATTTATTAATAAAAATAAACTTTTTAAAACTTTTTTGAATATAATTTGAAGTATTAAATGATTAATTAGAACAAAAAACAAGTAAAATAATTTAATTCCAATTTATTAATAAATTAATTCTTAAAATTTGAACTAAATATCAAAATGAATAAATTTCTAATACAGAATGAAATTTCTATTTTTCAAGTTTAAAAGCTTACAAATGTAAATGTATTGTAATAATTTGCTACTTGGCAAAATTCAATTTAAATTCCAACTATGGAGGATTATTAGTAAAAATTTATTTTTCAATCAACAAATTAATATAATTGATTTTTATTTTAATTTAATTCATACTTTTGCATTGAATTTGATCAAGTCACAATTGAATTATTCCAGTAACTTATTATTAAAGTTTTGAATTAATTTTCGATCTTTTTGCAAAGTTATCTTTAAAATTTTAAATTAACGCACTCATATCCACTCATTGATTTGCATTACTTAATAATTGGATTAATTGTAATACTTCATAACTGGATTAATTTTTTTAGAATTTGTTTTAATATTTCAATTTTGCGCAAGTTTGTGATAATAATAAGGTTGTGGATCTATTTTTGCTATATGTTTTTAGAAGTTCATCCCATGACAACGCACAATTTGAAAAATGTGGATCTATTTTTGATTTATCACTTATTTTGACAACCTGTTTTTAGAAGTTCATCCCATGACAACGCACAATTTGAAAAATTCTCGTATGAGATAATTTGATTTAAAATTTTGTGAATATTTTTTCAGAGAAATTCAAATTTATTAATAATTATGCAATTAAATGTATCTAAAACAGAAAAATTAATTCATTACACTCAAAAATAATTTTGTTTGTATTTTGTGCATTAATTAGGAGAGAATGTAAACAATTTTTAACGCATATTATTCATTTTATTTTATTTTTTCAAATTCCAAAACAAATTTAAAAATCTTTTAAATATTAGTCAGGCATTAATTGCAACAAATAAACCTGATAAATAGTTATTACTCATATTACAAATTATATAAATTCAAAAATAATATCAAATAACAAAACAAAATAGTCATTAAAACAGTCATTCAATATGCTGTTAATTTTTGGATCTGATTAATATAATCGTTATCGGATTAACTTGATCAGTAAACTTTATAAATGTATCTTTAGTGAAACAGAAATACTATTTATTATCTCCAAATCTGTTTACTGTACACTCACAGATTTTAGTTTTGTAAAGATTACAGATAGCTTAGCATCGATGTTCTTCATTGTATTACGCAATTGTTGAACTTTATTCGAAAGTTCAATTATTTGCTGCAAAATAAATATTAAAGAATTTAGTTTTAATTTTTTAATAAAAATTATTATTCTAATTTTTATAATTTTTTATTCATAAAATATTATTACATTTTTATTTCATAAATGCCATCACAAACATCTTTTAATACTAATTATCGTTGCCAAAATTGTGGTATAAGCATTGATAATTCATGGATTAGACTAGAAAGACTGCCTCAAAATTTATTAAATTAAAGAAATTTGAAGACTTTTTATTGACATAAGCTCAAAGCCAACTATGAAAAGAAAATTTTTCTGATTTTTTAATCTCAAATATAAATTCCATTTTTTAATTTTGAATTTATTAATTCAGATCAGTATATTTTTTATCATTAGAATATAATACAAACCGTTGCTTGAAATTCACCCAAAAGTTTGACTTGTTTTTTCAAAATATCATTCTGCGCATTGACGTATTGACAGTGTTCGTTACGTTTTCGTTTTAACACCTTCAAATATTCCAAATTTGAAAGCAAAAATATTTATTCCAAAAATATATAAAATTGAATTTATGCTTACATCCATGCCAGCAGTAATATCATCCATCGCTATTCGTAATTCAACGTCTTTTTCACATTCTGTTGCTATTTCTTTCAGTTTTCTACAATCAATTTGACAAAATTAATATTAATTTAAAAATATATTTAATTATGATAATTTAATTTGCAAGCTTCTTGCTTACTTGCATTGCATTAAGTTTTTGTTTGTTCTAAAAGTAATTTGAACTTTAATAGTTTATACTTTCAAATTGCTATAAATAAGAAACAAAAACTTATAACATCGAAATTCGTTCAGCTTCATAAATATACTTAGAACGATGCTTCCACATCAGTTCTTCGTTTTGCTCAACTTTCGATACTGAATGCTAAAATTAAAAATTCATGGAAATGAATATATTATCATGCGCAATAGCTTATTCAAATAATTTATCATTTTTATTGATGTCTTAACTGAAGAATTATTTATTCATATTTACATTATGTTTAAAATTATTTAAAAAAAACAATAATAGTGTTTACTAATAACTTACTTTTTTTTTGAATATTTAAAGTTTGAATTTGAAAAACTCACACTTATATAAATAATTGTAGTTCTATCTATTTTGAATTGCGTGGTTTCATCAGGAATGAGACTTTTATTATTATAAATTTAAAAAAAAAAAGTAAGTCAGTAGTCAGCTATATTAATTATTGTTAGTGCTATAATTAAGAATTAGTTCAAAACCTAAATTTTCTACCTTGATTTCATTTTTTGGAATTGGAGATCGAATTTGATCTGCACTGCTACCGGTTGAAGTCAACGAACGCTTTGATTTGGACGAGCTGCTTGCTATAAAATTTACGTTTTTTAAATTTGAAGTAAATCACAAGTTTAGTTCAAATATATTGTAATATTAAACATAAGAATTGTGAATATTAAACCTGATTTTTATCATAAAAGCTTAATTTCATTAATTTTAGTGATAACAATAATAAAAATTGATGGATTTACTAATGGCTTATTTTTTTTTTGAAAATTTAAAAAATAAAAACTTTATTTTTCTACATTCTAATATGTCCACGAGTGGTTTTGACTTGCGCGATTTTCCTGTAATAAAATCAGCGAAGCTTTTATACATTAAACGCTTAAAATCGCATATTTATGATTTTAGGCATCTATTCTAAAATTATAATAAAATTAGAAACAAAATTCAAAATAGATTCAAATATTCACTTTTCAAAACTAGATAATATTCCAAATGTTTCTAAAATTTATTTATTTTACTTAATTTTTAATCTCATTATGAATTATTTATTTTTTTAAATATAATTATTTACTACTTTAGTTAACATTTCTTAAAAAGTAATTATTCAAACATACTTTGGGACATCTTTTTCTTCAATTTCCACTTCTTTTTCTTTTTTTTATCCTGAGACTGTAGTTAATTTTGAAATTTTAATAAAAAGAATGGAAATCTGAATTCGAATACTTAATTTTGTAAAATAAAAATTACTTTAAGTCTCATCTGAGTATGTTGTGGTATTTCACGAGTTTCTAATTTTGCTTGTTGTGTTTTCAAGAATTGCATTTTTTGAGCAGCAGAATATTTTGTACGGTATTCGTCATCTGGCATTTTTGTAC